GACGACCGATCACTCCCTGGCAGGAAAGGGTGGCCGACTAGGCCACCGTAATGATAGGCGACCGCTCGGGTCCGTTCCATGCGGGATGACCGATTAGCGAGTGGTGGAAACCTCGATATCAGGCTAGCTCGGAAACTCTTCCGATGCAATGTTCGGATCGATCTGTGCGTCTCGGTTCGAGTCTAGCCAAGGAGCCGGCAGCCTCCACAGTGAAGAAACGAACGCGGCATTCAGTAGAAGCCGCGTTAGCTTGGGTGGCCACACCTGTCGATGAACAGGCACCAGGATCTGCACCTCGCGCCTGACGCCGGGTTGTCCATCCCTGTCGATGGACAGACACGGGCCTCTCATCCTCGCAATGAGGACCTTGTTCGGCTCACAGAACTCTGGATCGAATCCTCGGCCGTGAGACGGCTCCGGCCATCGACTGCGCTCCGCAGGGGCCCTGTTGGCCTGGATGCCCGTCCCTGTCGATGGACGGGCACGGCAATCCGCTCCTCGCGCCTGCAGGTAGGACGCGCCAACCCTTGCTGATGGACAGGCGTGGGCATCCCGCCCTCGCAAAGAAACAGGTCGCGCTGGGCACCGAAAGTTGGTCCGCCTTACTGGCCGCGAGATGGCCACATTGCCGCTGCGGGCGCGGCATCCTCCGATGGCTGCTTCGCGCCACGCCTGATCTCTTATCTCTCGGAAACACGGTGGAAGCTGGTGGCAGTGATTTGTGGAAATCGCCTGGCGGGACCCTTTGTTGCACAAACTTATGTTGCGTCTCGGTTCGAGTCCAGCCCAGGGGTTGGCAGACCCACCCATTGGCGGCATTCGGTAGAAGCCGCGGTAGCCTGGATGGCCACCACAGTTGACGGCCTTCGCGCTGCAACAAGGACGCCCATCCCTGGCGATGGACAGACACGGGCACCCCATCCTAGCAATGAGGATTTCGCTCGGCACTGGGAATTGTGGTCCGCATCAACGGCCGTGAGACGGTCACATTGCCGTTGCGGGCGCGGCATGCTCGCCGCTGAAGGCGCTCAGAAGGCACAATGTTGGCCTGGATGCACGTCCCAATCGATGGACAAGCGTTGGAATGCGTTCCTCGTGCTTGCAGCTAGGATTCCCATCCCTGTTGATGGACAGGCATGGGCATCCCGCCCTCGCAAAGAGAATGCGCTGAGCACCAAGAGTACTGTTCTGCCGTGGTGACCGAGAGATGGCCAAATGGCCGCTTCGGGCGCGGCAGCCTCCGACGGTTACTTCGCGACATGCATGAGCCAGAACATTGTGGAATCGCGGCGGAAGCCAGTGGGCGCAATTTGCGGTGATCGCCTGGTGGGGCCCTCGCTTCCCCATCGTTCACTCTTGGGTCTCCACGTGAAGCGCGAGCGTTGCGACGATCGCCCGCTGGGGCCCGGTAGTTGGTAGACTGGCATCAGGGCTTCGGGGGGCCGAACCTGTCAGCATGTCCTTCGCGGAGCGGGGGTCCAGGGTGCCTGCAATACCCTTGGGCGGCCCTGCGTTACCTCCATCTCTGGCGTGAGACATGAGGCCCAGGGGAAATAAGATTTGTCCGCGAGGGCGCTCGGCGCGCAAACTGAATCCTACATCCTGCGGTCGGCGCGAGAGCGGAACGGCCGCGGGGAAGCCACGTGCCCGCAAGGGGCCGCTGGCGGAGAAAGGCTTCCCTAAAGTTGCTCCAGGCAGTGGGGGTCAAGCGGCCGAGGAGAGGAGGGGGAGGAGTAGGAGGAGGAGGAGGAGGAGGAGGAGGAGGAGGAGGAGGAGGAGGAGGAGGAGGAGGAGGAGGAGGAGGAGGAGGAGGAGGAGGAGGAGGAGGGGGGGGAGGAGGAAGCAAGCGTACCACGACGACGACGACGACGTCCCACCCTACCCCGCAGCCCACCCACCCCGCGCCTCGTTGGGCGTGGCGAGGCGGAGCTCGCGCAAGGCCGCGCAGGCGGCGCCCAGGTTGGTGGATGGGCGAAGAAGAGCAGATGGGGGGAGAGAGCGAAGAGAATGGTAAACATGAGAAGCTAGAAAAACTTCCTCAAGAACAGGGACGGTGCAATCGGGGACCCCCCATATCCGAAGCGGGCCAAGGGACGAAACTCGATATCTGAGAACGCTAGAAATCGACCGTGCAAGACGAGGGCACAAGGCATAGTGAGACTGCTGGTCAAGCTCGCCTTCGCATCCGAAGAAACATCACGCACGGCCTTTATGACTCAGAATTCGATGGGACGTAAGCCAGCCCCCGCTCATCGCACGGCGCCATGCCCAAGCCCACGACGGAGGAACAGGCTTCACAACACATCGGACGGCAGGCCAGTCGATGGCCAGGACCTCCTCAGCCCGTTCGGACCACCACATCATCTGACGGGATGTGTACAAACTCTCGAGACTATCAGACGGCCAGCGCTCTAGACAGGCAAACTTAGCGGCGCGCTGGGGCTTCACCTCATATTCGCGGCAGGCGCGAGCAGCGGCGGCATGTGCAGGGCCGCTCGCACCAGCAGCAGCATCATGAAGGTATTCGGCGAACGCACGGGATTTCCGATGACCAGGGCACCGCCTTCCAGGCGGGAGAACAGTCAGACGCCTATCGTCAGCATGTTGGGTCTCGGGTGCGTCTGTCATCATCGCAAGCCAGCGACGCAAGCGTTCGCACTCAGGAAGAGTCGAAGTAGCCGAACGGGCGAGAGTCGCGATGCTGAGGGTCTCCAGAGGGCAAACGCGGGGGCCATTCCAGTCACCGAGACGGGTCCATTCACGGGGTCCGAAGGTACCGAGAGAAAGGCGAAACGTCTGTGCGAGGGCTTCTCTCTCCTGCTCCTTCATATGCGGCGGCAGCGACAAAAAACTGCACCGCGTAGCTCAGTGCGGGAACGCAACGGGCATTGCACGGCACTGCCGAGGAAGACGCTGGAGTAGTTCCCGCACCGGCCGCTGCAGCACGGCCTTTGCGCTGAGGACGAGGAAGCGACCGGGATTTTCAGGCTCGGTGGCAGGGCCAATCCACATCCCGAGGTAGAAGAGCTTCGACTCGACGCGGAAATGGGGCCGCTCGGGGATGCACATCCTCAGGAAATCCTGGACACGTTTCTTGAGCTCGGGTGTGAACGGGCCAGAGACAGGGGACAGCGAGCACTTCGCGGGCTTCAAGCACAAATGAGCGGTGGCCCCTACGACCCCCATCACTTTCCGCAACTGCAGCAAAAGACGACTGTCCGACAAGGCTCCGCCGAAGTCGTCGGCGCAGGCGCGGTTGGTGCATTTTCTTGGGGGCCTCGAATGATTCGAGGTCCAGTAGCGCAGGGGCCAGGGCGGCCGCAAACAGGGGGCCCGAGAGCGCACCGCCCTGGATAATATCAGACCGAATCCAAAAAACATGAACAAATTGCCCCCTGGACCGACATCACCCCCTCGATACTGTCACACAAGATCATCGCGAACTTCATCAGCGGAACTGGGCGCGGATCACAAACTCCTGAGACAAGCTGGGACACGCATGGCCGCAATCGAGAGCGTAGATCAGGGGGCACTGGCGGTCGGCCTCTGGGGACGAGGTATGCACCCGAGCGAGAACGTCCACCTCTATGATGTTCTGGCGAAAGTTCATCCTCTTTGATGAACCCCCCCTGATCAGCAGAAACGAAGGGTGCAAGCGGGCGGCGGATGGCCACGTTCGAAGTGACCGCGGGCAACTCGACGCGCGCGCTGCGAAGACCGAGCACTCTCACCGCCGATGCCTCCCCCCACACCCCCCTCAATCGCATCCGCGCTGGCCTCGCTCTTGGGAAGAAACGCTTGGGGCGCCGCGCTCCCGGCAGCAAACGAGCAGTTCCCAGCGAGCATCCAAGGCAGCGCGTCGCGTAAAAGAGCGAGGCCACCAGGGCGAGCAAGCCAGGCAGCGCAGCAGAGACGGCCGACACCAGGGGCCGAGTCGCTCGCGGACTGGGCGACCCGCTTCACCGCGGACAACGTTGGCGGCGGTGCATCTGCGGAACCGACGGGGCGAACGAATCAATCACAATGGATGGGCGCCGTTCTGCGGGGCCGCGGTTCCCGAGCGAAGATCGGCCCCCAACGCGATGCCAGCGCCGAGTGTCGACCCGCATCCTCCTCCACCTCAACCCCGCCAATGATGGCAGCGCGCAACGTAATCCGACGTGCGAACGGTGCCCAGATCCTCGTCCTCCCCTCAATCGCCTGCAACCGTTGCCTTTCCCGTTGTCTGACTCCCTCTCCATCCGCCCGTTCCAATCGAGCAAGCGCGGCAGCTCCGTCAAGCTTAGCAGCCCGCAGCTGCACGCCGCCGGTCCAGCTCCGAAGCGCTGCAGGATGAACGCGCGAAGCCCGGGGGCCTTCCACTCGAACCAAATCGGCAGGAGCCGCGTGCTAGCGAAGAAGACGCACAGCTGCACGAGCGCCTCGGCGCCAAACAGCGCGCGCGATGGCGCGGGCAAGAAAGAAGAAGAAGAATAACCAGAAGAAGAAGCGCCCTGGGGCCCGACGGCTTTCGAAACACGCGCATGCCCCGCGCTCCCCTCCCAGCCTCCTGCATTGGATACTTCTGTCGATGAAGCGTTCGGGAAAGGCGCGCGGCCAGCAAGTGGGCAGCCTCCGCGTCGATGAACTTGGCGAGGGTGCTGCGATATTCTGACGACCTGCAAATACGCTTCGAAGCGAGGCGCTCAGAAGGCCCCCAGGGTTCCCACTGGCAGAGCGAGATAGCAAACGCAGCATGATCATTAACTTCTTGTAAATGAAGCTGTTCGGGGAGCCCTTCAACACGAGCACTGGCGAAAGCCTGAGAGAGCCCCCATCCGAGACACGAGCGCCAGAATCTGTCAATCGCAGCAACGGCGTCCGAGCGAGCATCAAAGTGCGCGGCAGCGGCTCGCGAAATCTCAACCAAAGAACCGGGGGGATCAGACCATCGAGGTACCTGGGCGCGCCATGGGCAAGCAATCCTCTTGGCCTGCACCGGCCGCGCTAGCGACAGTTTTTCACGATCGGCAAAGTTGACATCACCTTGCGCCGCGAGCAAGACAGAGCCAGGCGAGGCTTCAGAAGCAGAGCTACGGCCCCGAAACACACGTGCCTTACTTGTTCTGAGGATGAATCATGATTGCGCACGCAATAACGAATTAACTTCGCGTCTTGATTTTCGAAGACGACACGCTGGAGACGACTGGTAATGATAGGCTCAGCAGAGGCAGCGACTCCCGGATGGGAGGGAAGAGGCGCGCTGGCCGCGGCAAAGAACCCCTGGCACGATCGCGGCCGCCCCACCGCGGACGCGGCCAGCACGGCCCTCGCCGCAGAAGCTCGAACAAATGACCGCTCCTGGGGGGGGGAACGGTTCCAAGGGGATGCGAATTGCGCCTCGCTCTGATGCAACTCCTGCAAGGCGGTGGCCGCGGAGCCCAGTCGGAGCCTCTGGTGGCGCCTTAAATATGACACCAGCGCGGGCCACATCAAATTGACGAAGAGCTCGCGCATTCCAGGAAACGAAGCGAAGACCTCTCGCCGAGGAGGAACCACTCGGAAACTGGAGGCGAGATCGCGCGACCACCGCGGCAAAACGGCAAAAAGTGCCACTCAGGCCCGCGGTCGGGCTGGACGGTCCCCTGCACTGCCTCGACCAGGGCCTGCTTCGACACGCCGTGCTTCGCGATGGTGCCAGGGTTCCACGGGATCTCGGTTGCTTCACGGCCAAGGAAAGTTTCGATCTTGCACGGCGCGTCCCACGGGAGAGAGAGAGAGAGAGAGACAGAGAGAGAGAGAGAGAGAGAGAGAGAGCGAACGAGAGAGAGAGAGAGAGAGAGAGAGAAAAAAAAAAAAAGAGCCAGCCACGATCACGGTCGAAGAAGATCTTCTGCTCGCGCCCGTAGACCTCCTGCAATTTCGCACGCAACTTGCGACCCACCATCTCCGTCTTGACTTGCTTCGGGTTCTTGTCAGCCGAGGTGTGTAGCTTTGCCGTGCCCCCAGCATGTGCGGGGACCTCGAAGTCACGCCCCAGCCGTGGTTCGATGTTCGGAGGCTGCCCAAGGTCTTTTGCGAACGACGAGATCCCAAGCCAGTCGCACCCAGGAGCTGAAGCGCGAAGTAACTTCAAGAGCGGGTCGGCACAGGACAAGCGCCACATGTCCTTAGACATCTGGATCTCTTCGAGCCACGGGGTGATGACGTCGATGATGACCTGGCACTGCGCCAACTTGCCCGCGTTGATCTTGATGATGGTCGCATCCGCGTCCCTCTCGAACGCCATCGTCCCGCCGAACACCTTGGGAGCGGGCTGCGAGGAGTTCGCGGCCATGAGGGCTTCAGACAGACGGGCAACTTGAGCCTGCAAATCAGCGGGCGAGCGGGCGCGGTCATCAACTTAAGCATCCACTGCATTGATGTCCATCTTGAAATAGCCGCAACGGCCCATGATCCCCCTGCGAAGCTCATGGGAGTAACTGCAGCTATGGTGCCACCACCCGTGGTCTCCGGCAACTGCTGCACATCCTGCTTGCACTGAGCCAGGCACCTGCTGAAGTTCGCGATGGAAGGGTCTGTGATCGTCGTAGCTTCCGCAGCGATGGCAGATTTGATCGAGGAGCCCACGATCTCGTCGACCTTGGCCTGAACGTCGCCGAGCCGCTCATTGACAATCTCGAAGCACAGGGTACGGATGTGGTCGTCGTCGTAGTCGTTGTCGCCATCGTCCATGCGGTGGGGTTCAGCTTCAGTGGGGGTCGATCCAGCCGAACACCAGCTTGCCGTTTGCCAGGCTTGAACACCAGCAGCGCCACGGCGGGCAGGCGGGCCAGAAGCGGATACACCACACTGCGTGCCCAGAGCGGAACCATTGGCAGCAAACATCGACTCAACTGGTGTGGGGGCACAACTCCCACAGTGGAGGCTCACGAGAAACACTGCCAGGCAAAACTGCCTTGCCTGCCGCGGTGACAGCGGTATCTCTGCAGGCACGGAAGCGCGGAGCCCCCAAAGTGCAAGCATCTTGAGCCAAAACGGCTACAGAGGAGGGGGAGGAGGGGAGGAGGAGGAGAAGGAGGAGGAGGGAGGAGGGAGGAAGGAAGAGGAGGAGGAGGTGGACAAACAGTTTCACAAGTTTGGGGAAGGCGTCCCTGCGCAGAGGTCCTCCACGGGACCCGCCGCGTGCTTCGGGACTCGTCCTCGTCTTCGCTGCCTTGGCGTCGTGAGGGGTGACAGCGAGGCTCCAGTGGTCCACGCCCCCTCTGGGACATACGCCCTTCACACCATGACAATCGTCTGTTTCCGATTTCGTTTTCAACTTGGCCTCCAGACCCAGTTCCTTTGGAGGCGAGGCCAGAAGGCAAACATGAACGACGGCATAAGTGACCCGATCTAGCCACCGCGGAGTGTGCAAATCTGCATGCCCTGGAGAAGCGTCGAGGGACCATTCTGAGCGAATTGATACTAGTCCCACGCACAACGTGAGATGCTGATGTAAAGGGTGCGAGGGGGGCATGATGTGTCCGCCCCATCGTGTCCTCTGGGGTCGCAATTGTCCATGGACATGGTCCATGGACATGGTCCATGGACGGGCGCAGACCATGCTGTCAGGGGGGTTTCTAGGAATCTTCCCAGCAATCCCAAATGTTGCTCCGTAGTTCCCTTGTCTTCGAGTGGCACACCATGGTAATATGTTAAATGCCTTGGTGCTTTCGAATACGAATCAGGCCTGTTAGAGAGGCTGCGCAATGATATATCATCAGACACTCTGAGCAACTCACGTCTCGTTGAATCGATAGGCAAGCGAGCGAGCGACATGAAAACCTAAGGGAATCTCCTCAACCCTTTTCCACCGTCCGGCTTGAGCCCAAAGAGGTAGGTTTCGAATGCGACACCCCTGTCTGCACTGGCCCGAGGCAGGACGTGTCTGGCCCCTGGGTGACACAGCAAGGTGGTACACCAGGACTTCTGGATCCACCCATGGGATGAAGGCGCCCCTAAGGCATAGCACTTCACGCATACTCCCGGTATGGTCTGTGTCCCGAGCGGTATACTAGTTGCGCACAGCAGATCCAGGAGGGATCCCCCTCCTTTCAACAGCCATGTGCCGTGCACGGCCCATCGTCTCCTCCTCCTGCTCCTGTTGCTTGGGCAGGCCGATGAGAATGTGAGCGTGCGCAACGCTCGTGGCGTCAGTCGCGCCCGCGCACGCGCGGGCAAGACCAGACAGGATACACACGAGAGCGGAGAAGTGGCAGAGTGAAGGACGACCCCGCCTGGACCCTCATGCTCCTCATGTCCATCCCCCTCCCCATTTCCTCCTCCTCCTCCTCCTGCTCCCCTCCTATTCCTCCTACTCCTACTCCTCCTCCTCCTCCTCCTCCTCCTCCTCCTCCTCCTCCTCCTTCTCTTCCTCCTCCACCTCCTCCTCCTACTCTTCACCCTTCTTCCCCCCGTATTCCTCCATTCTCATCCCCTATAAAAAAACTGTTCTGTCGCACTACCAGACCGGCCCGTTGGCCAGACAGGGCGTTTCGCTTGAGCCTTCTTCACAGCTTATTCCCAGAACCGTGCTTGCACTTAAGGGTTGTTACTTTTGTTCTACGGTAACTGGGCCCCGGTGCCAGTGCGGCTGGTTCGTCGCCGACCGTCGCCGCCCGTCGCCGCCCATCGCCGCCGACCGTCGCCGCGACTTGCTCTGGGCCCTGGCTAGCTCGTCGCCGCCCGTCGCCGCCGTCCGTTGCCGCCACTTGCACTCGTGCACTGGTGCACTCGCACTCGCCCACTCTCATAGCATAGCACAGCATAGCACAGCACAGCATAGCACAGCATAGCACAGCTGACCGCAGATTAGCATAGCTTAGTTTAGCATCGCATCGCTTACCATATCATAGCAGAGCATAACACATAAGGGCATAGCATATAATGGCATGTAACAGCATGGTGAACTCAACGTGGTGCGACATAATATTACACCGCATCAGTTGTACTGCGGAGATTGCCCTGTACTGATGGGCACTGCATGTATTGTACGGCATCGATTGCACTGCGAAGGCTGCACCGCACAAATCACACCGCTGAAAATGCTAGAACACAAGTTGGGGTCCACGCTGGCTAATACCATACGGAAGCGTATGACTCCAACGACTACGAGGATAGAGGGGGAATGGTTTTCAAAATGTGGCTCTCGCCTTAGCGGGGCGCGCAATATGTTTGGGAAGTTCCGAAGGGCTACAAGAATGGAGGCTGGCTCGTTCTCACAATGCGGCGAGCCTTCCTCCGCATCCATGGCCCGACGTTCCCCTCACTGTCCGACATCCCATACGGACGGAAGGCGGCTCCTATCTTAGATGAGGCCGTCGCTCTTCCGTAGCTCTTATCAAGCACCTGCACAGGTCGTGCCAGAAAAGAGGTCCGATAACGGCCCCAGCGGGCACCGCCCGCACAGCGGCGCCGCGCCCACTCTCCGGTGAGCCCCGCGCCCGGGTCGTGCCGCAGAGGGGGCTCCACCGCGCGAGCCCGGGCGCCCGCGGGCGGGCCGGGGCCCACTTCTGGAGGCCTAGAAATGGGCACCAACACCAACACAGGGGGTTGCCTCTACAGGGGGAAGATGATCCTCGATTTCGGCGTTGGTGGTAATGTTTCGGCCACCCTGGAAGTCAGAATATTTCCACCATCACCGAGATCGGGATCTTCTTCCCTCGGTGGAGGCACACCGCCGATATTGGTGCTGGTGTCAACCTCGAGGCCTGCGACACTTCGACTCACCCCCTCACGCAGATGGTGGCCCACAGGGAGTTCCACCGACTGCCCCAGTGGGCGCGGCCGCATTGCAGCACCTCGCGCAGGTCGCCACCCACCGCACGCGGACCGCACAGTTCATCTCGCCTCGGCGCGCTTGCTCCGCGGCCCCCTCTCCGTGCTGCCCCGCGGCGCGCAGTGCATGGAGCGAGGGCCACGACCGGCGCTACATACAGCTGCATAGGGTTAGGCCCTTCGCCAGACTTTTTTTCACAAACTCCTCTCATGCAGCCGTCTCTGGCGGCCCCCCCTCCCCCCTTGCTCCCTGCCCTCTCCCCCGCTCCCAGGCTCCCCCAATCCCCCATCCATCCCCCTGACCCCCAAACCTCCCTCCTGCTACCGACGACGACGACGACGACGACGACGACGACGACGACGACGACGACGACGACGGCGACTGGCGACTGGCGACTGGCGACTGGCGACGGCGGTGGCGGCGACGTCGACGACGGCGGCCGCGGTAACGGCGACGGCCAGGGCGACGGTGGCTGCGGCCTCGGCAGCCCACGGGGGCGACGGGGCACATGGCAACAGCGCTCCGGCGGGGCGTCGCCAGGAGCGCTGCGTTTTTGGCGGAGGCGCCGAGGAGGCACTGGCTTTTTTCGGGTGCTCGACGTCGTCGCCGTCGTCGTCGTCGTCGTCGTCGTCGTCGACGCCGCCGCCGCTCGTCGTCGCCGCCGCCGCCGTCGCCGCTGCCCTCGTCGCCATCGCCGCCGTCGTCGGGAGCGGGGACGGAGGATGAGAAAGAGGCGAAGGAGGAGGATGAGAAGCGTGGGGAGAAGGAGGGCGGAGGATGAGAAAGGAGAGGGTGATGGGGGGAGGAGATGGAGCAGCTGGAGGGAGAGAGGGGAGGGAGAGCGGAACAAGGGGGGGAAGAGCGGGAAGAGTACTGATGCTACTGTTGCTCCTCCTCTACACATCATCTTCCTCCTCTCCGTCCTACTCCTCCCACTCCTCTACTCCCCGCATCCCTCTCTACCTGGTCCCCCTTTCTGCATCAACTCGACTCATTTCTCCTCCATCCGTCCTCCTCCTTCTAGTCGTCCTTCTTCTCACCCGTTCCATCATCCCTCCTCACTCCTCCACGTCGTCCCCATCCTCCTAACCCACCTCCTCTCACACCATTATCAACATCATGATCCGCACCACCAAAACAAACCCTCGTCTTCATCATCACCATCAGCATCATCATCCTGCTTCGTCCCCACCCATCCCACAAGAAACTCATCCTTCTCGCATCCCCCAGACGTGTTTGTAGGGCGGGCTGGGCGTGTCAACTGATACTTCCTCACCATGTACGGTACTGAAGCTTGAAATGTGTAATAGTGTCGATTTGTTGGAGCGGAGTCGTTTTCAAAATGGGACTCTCGCCTTAGCGCCGCGCGCACTCGTGCCTTAAACACTTGCAGCAGCTTGAAGGATTGAGGGCGGGCCGTTCTCAGAACGGAGCTCCCGCCGCAACGCCAGGCACTTTCGCTTTACAAGTTGAGAACAGTTCCAAGGATGGAAGGCCACTCGTCTTCGCAAGGAGGCTCTCGCCGTCGCGCCACGCAAGCTAGTCGCTTCAACTTGAAACAGCTTCAAGGATGGCGGGCGGGTAGTTTTCACAAGCGGGCTCTCGCCTTAGCGCCGCGCACATTCGCATCACAGGCGCTCATCACGTCCAGGGTGGAGGACGGCGCCTTGTCAAAAGTGTGTGACTGGTCGGGACTTGCTCACCTTGAACGACAACAGACTTCAACGGGTGTAACATCTGCATGGGTGGAAGGCGGCTCCTTTTCAAAACGGGGCTCCCGCTCAAAATGGGGGGTCCCGCTGGACAACCGCTGCAGCGCGGTACGTAGTATCGGCGGTGGACAAACCTCCCTTCAGTAGACCTCCCCTTAAAGAAAACGGCATGGGACCGAAACCGACGGACCTGGACCCGCAACAATGACGGCCGCGACGCCCCCTCGCGAACCGAAAACGGCCAATTCCTTAATCGACGTGTCAGGGTAGGAGGTCTGTCCACCCCCGATAGTACTCGCGAAGAGGCAGGGCAGGTCCTTTCCTCGAAAGGGGCCTTCGCCTAAGTGGCAGACCCGCAGGGCCCCCTGCATGTCGAGGGGGCGCGTCCTGCAGCAGCAAAGGCAAGCCCGTACGAGGCTTGGGGAGGGAATTTGGGGCGGGACGGTGTGCCGCAGCATCGCTGGTGCAGATCAGGTCTACTCTGGCCTTCCTCCT